CTCCTTGGCACACTCCGCTGTTGATGTAAAACGGGTTCGACAATGTCTCTTCTGCTTTGATGACGCCTTTAGTACTTTCCTACAGTCCTTACAACAAACCGATGATCTTCAACGGTACTCCATAGAGTCGCAGTATGCGCCACAAGGAGGGACGGTGTATCGAATCGAAAGCTGCTCAGAAGTTGAAGAATATTTTTTATAACAGGGTAGTTCAAAGCTTCTTCCCTTGCCCGATGTTAACCGTACTTGAGAATCAAGTTCGAAACCCTACTTGATTTGGCCGAAGCGAATCTTCAACTGCGCTCTTCAGTTTTCAAAGGAGGATTCGTGTGAAGACCTTTGGTAGCAGAGGCTGGCAATCCGGTGGTGGTTGGCGCAATCAGAATGATTGCCACATTTGAAAATAGAAATGACTACGCCCTCCTTGCAGTTTTCAGAAATTTCTGACCTCCGCCAGATGGATCCATTTCAGTAGGATTTGTCCTGGACACTCGAGAATTTTCTCAATAATCTTGTCGTGCATGCAGGATTTCGAACTTCGACAGAGACATATGGCATTTCGGATTTCATCTTTCACTTCGAATAGTAACATGCATAAAAGTACGAGTCGTGGCACATCAACTTATTTTCATACAGTACAATTCATTGTTGCGTGATGTATCAATACGGTGCAAATAAGGTAATATTATAAAGCGCTGGCTTATGTAGGGATCTCATGGTCCACAAATAACGAAGGAAAGGTGAGATTATGCCGGATAATCCAGAGAAGCTACTCCTATATAGAAAAGTATTTTTGTGACCGGGCGCATCATTGCAGCGGTAACATCGAGATCTCCGGTTGAGGGAGATGGTTCTGCAAGTGGCTAAGTAAAATCACGAAACTGTGTGCTTGACAATTATCTATCCTCACCTTCTCATGTCGCAGAAGAATCGTTCTCTTTACAACGAACTAGCAGATGCCTTATTGAAAAATGCAGCAAATGGCCAGGGACGCTTCACTTATGCAAATGGCTGAAGGTGATCATCTAAATTCTCTATATCTGAAAGTTGTCGCCTACTAAGAAAACAAACAACATACATACAGTTTGAAATTTGACTCTTAAACATACCGTATAATAGTATGACAAAAAGGGTTTAAGTATATTAAATATTTTGACAAAAATGCACTGTGCTGCATGTCTGCTTGGAATGAATATTTCTGAACCATCGACGGCCATTCAAAAACCATCTTATCCTGGATTATACACAGGATTTCAAATCTTTACTTATGTGAAAAATATTCTCCAACACTGATGGCCATTCGCCACGTCTTCGAGAAATCTATTGCGGTGCTAGTAATCGAGCGGCATAAGTGCAATATCGAGTCCGTCAAAGGAAAAGTGGGTAAAGTTTACGTTTTCACATAACAGGGTGCGGTGAAACGGGTTCATTGACCAACGCAATAGCAGCCGCGTTTTAGGCGCTGCATGCACCTGATCAACATCGGTTTACGAGAAACTACCACGTGTTGATCGACAGACGCAAGAAATGTTAGAATGTCTCAGAAAGTAAGTGACTTTAAACCAAATTTTGCTAGAACTCCTACACTACCTCAATTTACTCACTAGGAAAACAACGAAACACTCAACCCTCCACTTGAATAGCGGTCATTACGCAATTAAAATGCTGCGGCAGCGTACGATAAGCCCCATCTGCTCCTGAAGCGTCGTTTTCACTGAGGTCGAGGGGGGAGTGACTCTAACAGCCAAAATATTAAATGCATCCGGGTGATCTCAGATATTAGAAGATGCAGGTGCTCAAATGCTACGGAACTGTGGTCTGATCAACGGTCCACTTGGCAACTAAGTGGGTGCAAAGCTCCAAGAACTTTGGTCTTGAAC